CAAGATTTTGGGGGGGATCTTTGTGCAGAGGAAGCACAATTGTGAGAGAACAGTAAGTCACGAATCCAAAGTCAAATCTCCAAATGTACCCAAAAAGTAATTAAGCTTTCAGTGAAGAAATAACAGCTGACCTCATGTTGATTTGTAGAAGATTAAGAGAGAATGAGCCGAGTGTATACCGACATTCACTCCTGTTGTTTTTTTCCTCCCCGCTTTAAAAGCCTTGAACAGCTGTTGGCTGCTTTTGCAGGAATGTGCGTAAACACACGTGTGTGGGCACACAAATGCACAAAGCCGTAAGCCTGCTCTGATACCAAACAGGCAGCCGTGCTCTCACACTAATTGACACAGATTGTGCAGATGCACAGTTTGATTTGTTGATGCAGCGTGCCCTCTGCTCTCCTGATGACACAACCATCTGACCACAACTGGATCTATTCTTATTCATTTATTTTTTTATACTGAATTGCTCATTCATAACCTCAAATTTCAGTCCCATCTCCTGCATTTCTTATGTGGCAGAGCTGCCAGCTTGGTTCAAAGAATAGTCCACAGAGCTGCACAACAGGCATGCTGCTAATGTTTATCTTTATATTTGAATCAGTTAATCTGCTTTTTGCCTCTTTTTTTCTTACCAAAGATATTAACCATTTAAAGTCTTAACCATGACGTAGTTGCCAGTGTTCACTGAAATAAAGAAATTACATATTAATTTGTATCACATCTGCTACAAAGACTCTGTTGTGCAAAAGCAGAGCGACTCACTCGCTACATTTCCATAATTTACAGTGCTGATAGGTTCATATGGCGAAACAATATTATTACAGACTTTCTGTACACAGTAGACTCCGTCTCAGCAATGTGACATTAAGACGGTAAACTTCCAGATCCACAGATATCAAAACTTGGTAAGTAGAATCGAACAATACAGTTATTTTACATCATTTAAAAGGGTAATTAGTTAATATAAACTGTAAACTGCTTGTTAATGCAAATATCTAATCAGCCAATCACACAGCAGGTGCTCTGGGTGTCCCGTTGATGTTAGGCATCAGAGAAAGACGGCTTTGCGCTGATATGAATCCCGCAGTAACGCTAATAACCACTTGTTAAAACAAAGGCGTGCAGATAAGACCGGCCCGGGGCAACTCCTCTCAGCTAGGAACAGGAAACGGAGGCTTCAGTTTGCCCGCACTCACCAAAATTGGACAATATAAGATTGGAAAATGATGAGTCTCGATTTCTGCTGCAACAATCAAATGCTACGGTCAGAATTTGATGTAAATAATAGGAGACCATGGATTCCTCCTGCTTTGAATCAAAGATTTAGGTTAGTGGTGGTGGTGTGTGGGATGCTTTCCTTACACATTTAGTATCATCTGAGCATCATTTACCTGTGTGTTTGTTAAGTGTTGCAGATTTCATGATGAAAACCAGGGTTTAACCCAAAAATGTTTCCCCGTGGTCAAGCTTACACTGTTCCAAAAAATAGTAATGTCAAAGTATCTTACTGTATATTTTACAGTTTTGTACTGTCTTTCTATGATATCATTAAATTTACATAAGTAGACTGTGATCTTACATGTCAAAGGTAAAATAACGTAACAGCTCTGTAAATATAGTAAAACACAATTTACGTGTTTGTTAAATATATTGTTTTGTACATATGCATATTTAGATTGTAAAACTACATCCAGAAATGTATCATAATTTCACGAATATTTGTCTGTTATGTGAGAGAATGATCTGTTAAATTCAAATGTAATACTATGGAAAAATATATAAAATGATCGAAAATTAATGAGAATAATCAATAATTAAAGGAGTATTTGAATTGTAATTTTGCTGAAAATTTTATGTCACCTAGGTCGAACACCTAGGTGACGTGTTGGGGGAACAGCTAGTTCTCTCCCATCATGCCTTGGGACATGTGCTGCTTAGATGTTCTTGTTTTATTGTTTATGGCTACGTTACTTTTAACTGTTATCTTGAATGTTGTGTTTATGTCGTGGTGCAGAGTCACTGACAGTTGTTGTTTTGTAGAGGGAGTGCTGTACCATGAGTGACTTCTGTTGTGCTGTTGTTGAACCTTGAGGCACATCGTAGCACCAGCAAGTGTTTTAATAAAGAACTCCCCTATCAGCTTGGGGTTGGATGACAGGCTCAATCTCTCTCTCTGTGAGCTTCTTTGTTAAGATTCCTTTGCATGCCACAATGTGCTAATTATAAATTTTGGGGTGAGGGTGTGGCCATGAAAACAATGTGACATGCCATTGGATGTTGGGACACATAATAACATGACGCTAAGCATCGGCCAATGAATGTGAACTAACAACAACCAGGTCGCGGGTGTGGCTGCGACCGTAGGAAAATAATATGAAGGTATTTTACTGCATTTTACAGTAATGTTCTGTTCTTCTAGAATATCATTAAAGTTACGTAAATAGACTTTGACTTCACATTTCAAATGTAAATTAACGTTAAATCACTGTAATGTAATGAAACATAATTTTCATGATTATTAAATGTATCTGTCTGTACATATGCATATTTAGATTGTTAAAATACATTTGTGAATGTATCATGATTTCACAAATATCTGTCCGTTATTTGAAAGATTGAACTGTTGAATTCAAATGTAATGC